GGAAGTGCTCATCTTCTTTAATTTCTAGTTCAACTGAATCAGTGAACAACAAAATTGAAATTTCCTAATCAGTTATGGACTGATTGCATTGCATAAAAAAATCAGAATGCATGCTCTAATGACTCTTGTAACTTTATTATCAAAATATGTAACAATGACTCTTGCAACTCATGATTCACTAACACATTAAAACATGGCAATAAACAACTCCCCTAGATTAATACTTCAATTACTAATTCAAATGAAGACAATCAAAACCTCAATCACTTGCAACTCTTAAGTTGCTTTATGTTCCTCAATCCTTGGCTTATGCATTCAATCGAGCACTTTGTATGTTTTTTTTCATTCATCCAATTTAACAAAACATGCAACATTCACTTGCCCAATTTAATTACCAGTTTCACTTAATGCAGTAAACTTATTGCTCTAGATTCATATGTTGTCATTATTACTTAGAATACATCCATCTCCATATGGATTTTTCTGCACTTCCTATTTGTCATTTTATCAAACGGTTGATGTGTGTGTGTGTGGATGACTTATGCAACTATAATTCAATCATGGAAGATCCACGGTAATCAGAGTTTATTCAATGCATTCACATATCATGAAATCCTAGACTCTAATTTCTCATTTTTAATGAGTAATTCAGCCATCCAAAATGAAGCCTTAAGTTCATAGATGTTAGAGTTATCCAACCCTTTGAAACCCTATGCTCATATGAATTGAAAGTAGAGATGAACTCAGCAATGTAGTGATTTAAGATAGTGAAGGAAGAACATACCTGGATATCCTTGTGTTGATTAATGCTTGAGGTGTGGGAAATTGTAGAGAATTGAGAGTAAGAATGAGATGAATGGAGAGATATGAGAGAAATATGAGGGAGAGGGAAATATGGGTTATGATGTAATGCAGATATGGGGGGAAAGAAAAACAAGGGATTTAAAAAGACTGCTGTGTGAGGGCATTTTAGCGCGCTGTTTGCGCGTTAAAATGCTACGAGGCAGCAAAGTTAGGCCTGTAATACATGAGCGCGTTTTAGCGCCCAGGAAAGCGCTAAAACGCGCTCTTCGAATCCTCAATTTATCCTTTCCAGAGCGTTTTAATGCCCAGTAGAGCGTTAAAATGCTTATAGTCAGTGGCATTTGATGTTTTTTTCTTTTAGGAGCACGTTTTAGCGCGCATGTGGCCGCTAAAACATGCTATTCGAACTCAGCTTTGGTTTCTTCTTCAGCGTTTTGGCGCTCTGATGAGCGTTAAAACGCTATCAGGAAGTAAGGTTTTTAGATTAACTTAGAAAAATTCATACCTTAGCTGCTTGAGCCCTCTTCTTCCTGTCTCTTTAGATCATGAACACCATTAGTCTCACACATCTACCTGTTTTTGTTTTCTTTTCTTGAAATCAAAATTAAATAAAATAAAATTTAAAATAAAACAGTAACTTATGGGTTTGCCTATCCATCAGCGCTTGTTTAACGTCATGAGCCTGACGTACCTAGTTCAAGTTACCTCTACAAGGGCAACAGTGGTTGAAACCCCTGTCTATTTCTCTTCACATGTATAGTTTCAGCCGTTGACCATTAACTGTGAAGCTCCTGTCGGAATCCAGCGGAATGATCTCCACTGCTCCATATGATTTCATGTTCTTCACAAAGAACGGTCCCGACCATCTAGACTTCAATTTTCCTGGAAAGAGACGGAGGCAAGAGTTGAAGAGTAAGACTTGATTTCCCACTTTGAAGTCTCGAGGTAGGATCTTCTTGTCGTGCCATTTCTTCGTCTTCTCTTTGTAGAGACTCGCGCTCTCGTATGCAGAGAGTCTGAATTCATCGAGCTCATCCAGTTGAAGTATTCTCTTTTCAGCTGCGGTCTTGGAATCAAAGTTCAGGTTTTTGATTGCCCATAGTGCTTTGTGTTCTAGCTCCACTGGTAAGTGACAGGCCTTCCCGAACAGTAATTGGAAAGGGGACATTCTTATTGGTGTTTTGAATGTAGTTCGGTATGTCCATAGTGCATCATCAAGCTTCTTGGACCAATCTCTTCGCGAGCTTCCAATCGTCTTCTCCAGTATACGCTTAAGCTCTCGGTTGGATATCTCTACTTGACCACTTATTTGCGAATGGTATGGTGTGACAATCTTGTGTTTCACTCCGCATTTAGCCAGCACGTATACCTTACAGAGATATTTCTTTTAAGGAATGCAATGACTACCTGAGAATCATTGGTAGGAAGGGCAACAGCCTCTACCCATTTAGATACATAATCCACCGCAACAAGGATGTATTTGTTGCCATAGGACGGAGGAAAAGGTCCCATGAAGTCTATTCCCCACACATCGAAGATTTCAACCTCCAATCTGTTGTTGAGGGGCATTTCATGTCTTTTGGAGGTATTTCCTGTTCTCTGACATCTATCACATGCTTCCACAAACTTCCTTGCATCCTTGTAGAGTGTTGGACAGTAGAAATCACTCATCAATACCTTTGTGATTGTTCTTTCTCCCGCGAAATGTCGACCGTAGCTTGAACCACGACAGTGCCACAAGATATCTTTCATCTCTTCTTCTGGAATGCACCATCTTATTACTCCGTCAGCACATCTGTAGAAGAGGAAGGGCTTATCCCATAAATATTTCTTCACATCGTGTAGAAATTTTTTTCTTTGTTTCCATGTAAAGTCTACTGGAATTTCTCCTACTACTTTGAAGTTCGCGAAATCCGCGAACCATAGAGGTGTACTTGTGGTCTTTACTTCCTCTATTTGCAGATCCGAGATAACATTGATAGCCAATATTTTCTCATCAGGGAACTCTCCCCTGATCTTTAGCTCAGGTCCATCTTGAAGATCTTTTTCTTGGATCCTAGAGAGGTGATCAGCCACCAAGTTCTCCACGCCTTTCTCTTCTCTGATCTCAACTTCAAATTCCTGAAGGAGCGGCATCCATCTGAGCAATCGTGGCTTTGCATCCTACTTATTCAATAAATACTTTAAAGCAGCTTGATCAATGTAAACAATTACTTTAGACCCCAGCAAATACAGTCTAAATTTATCAAAAGCATAGAAAACTGCTAGTAATCCTTTTTCAGTGGTTGCATAATTCTTTTGTGCATCATTAAGAATTTTACTAGCATAGTAAATTACATGCAACAATTTATCTTTTCTTTGTCCTAAGACAGCTCCTATGGCATAATCTCTAGCATCACACATTAATTCAAAAGGTAAAGTGAAATCAGGTGCAATGATTATAGGTGCAGTGGTCAATCGATCTTTTAAAATATTAAATGCTAACAAACATTCATCTGTGAAGTTGAATTCCTCATCCTTGACCAACAGCTTGCATAGTGGTTTTGCTATCTTGGAAAAGTCGTTGATAAAGCGCCTGTAAAAACCTGCTTGACCGAGAAAACTTCGAATACCTTTAACATTAGAGGGAGGGGGAAGTTTCTCAATAACAGATATTTTAGCTCTATCAATTTCTATACCTTCTTTAGACACTTTGTGTCCTAAAACTATGCCATCTTTTACCATGAAGTGGAATTTTCCCCAATTCAAAACAAGATTACTCTTTTGACATCTTTGTAAAGTGCATGATAAATTTTCTAAGCAAGTGTCAAAAGAGAGACCAAAAACAGAAAAGTCATCCATGAAAATCTCAATAGACTTTTTAATCATATCAGAAAAGATAGAAAACATACACCTTTGAAAAGTCATTGGAGCGTTGCACAGGCCGAAGGGCATCCTCCGATAAGCAAAGACTCCGTAAGGGTATGTGAATGTTTTCTTCTTTTGATCTTCTGGAGCTACTGCTATTTGGTTGTAACTCGAGTACCCGTCCAGGAAGCAGTAAAAGGTATGGCAAGCTAGTCTCTCCAACATCTGGTCCAAGAAAGGAATAGGAAAGTGGTCCTCCTGAGTGGCTGCATTAATTCTTTTATAGTCAACACACATCCTCCATCCAGTGACTGTCCTTGTTGGAATCAACTCATTGTTCTCGTTTCTTACCACAGTGACTCCACCTTTTCTTGGGTACAGTTTGTACTGGACTTTCCCATGCGCTATCAGATATAGGATAGATCATTCCTGCATCTAACAGTTTTATTACCTCTTTCCTTACCACCTCTTTCATGGTTGGATTGAGTCTCCTTTGTGGCTGCCTCACAGGTTTAATATCATCTTCCATTAGAATTTTATGAGTACAAAAGGAAGGATTTATACCTTTCAAGTCGGAGAAGGACCATCCTATGGCAGCTTTGTGCTTCTTCAACACCTTGAGAAGCTTTTCTTCTTCCATGGTTGTCAACTCGATGCAGATGATGACTGGATAAGTGTTGTTGTCACCAAGGAAAGCATATTTCAGATTTGGAGGTAACTCCTTAAGCTCCACCTTTGGTGCTCCAAGAGGGATGTCATCGTTCTTTCTTTCTAGTTTTTCCACCACTGGTCCTTTTTCTATACCAACAAGTTCAACTTCTTCGTTGAGTTATTCTAACTCAAGTGGGGAACTCTCCTCTTTCATCGTGTCATAGTCATCAACTGCTTCTTGTATTATGTCAATCATGAAACAGTCTCCTCCATCTGATGGATGTATCATTGACTCGAAGACATCAATGGTGACTGTCTCTTCGTTCATCCTCAGCATTAGTTTCCCTTGCTCCACATCGATCATTGCTCTTGCGGTGGCTAGGAATGACCTCCCAAGAAGTAGAGGAATCTCAACATCTTCTTTTATATTCAGAATTACAAAATCTGCAGGGAAGATAAATTGGTCAATTTTAACATCCTCAATTACCCTGTCTGGTATTCTGATCGATCTATCAGCTAACTGGAGAGAAACCGTAGTTGGCTTCAGTTCTTTAATTTCAAGAGCTCTGCACATGGAAAGTGGCATCAACTTTATACTTGCTCCCAGATCACATAATGTTTTTCCTACTTCAATATTTCCTATTGCTATAGGAATACTGAAGCCGCCCGAATCTTTCAGCTTGGGAGGAAGTTTTTTTCTAGATGATTGCACTGCATTCCTCAATTAATGCCATTGATTCGCACTCCTTCAGCTTGTGCTTCTTTGAAAGAAGGTCTTTCATGAATTTCGCATAATTTGGCATGCTTTCCAAGGCTTCTGTGAAAGGAATGTTGACTTGTAGCTTCTTGAAGATGTCTAGGAATTTGGTGTATTGTTGTTTCTGGATCTCATGTTTCAACCGCTGAGGGTATGGAACTCGTGCATATGGAGACGGATCTGCCGATTTTGGTTGCCTGTCCAGAGCTTTCTTTTTCTCCCATTTGAATAACTTTGGACTGCGTTTTTCAGCTTCTCCTGCATCTTCTTCTTTCTCCTTTTCAGCTTCAGGTTCAACTTCTTTTTTCTTCTCCACTAGTGGCTTTTCTACAGGTTTGATCACGATCCCACTTCTGGTAAAAATTGAATTACATTGTGCATTTGGGTTTTTATCTGTGTTACTTGGGAAGGTGCCTTGGGTTCTTTCAGCAAACTGTCTCGACAGCTGGCCTATTTGAGTTTCCAAGTTCCGAATCGAAGCTTCTTGATTACGGAATGAAGCTCTTGTTTCATCTCTGAAGGTGTTTGCATTCTGAATATAGTCTGAGGTAGTCTTACATAGTTGCGCAAAAGCCTTCTCCCACTCTTAAGTGTTGCCTTGAGGTGGAGTTTGTTGTTGCAATGGCAAAGGAGGGTTGAGCTGGTGGGTTGATTTGTAACTAAACCCAGGATTTTGGTTAGGAATTTTCCACCCTTGATTGTAGTTATTCCCATATTGGTTCCTCCCTGAGTTATTCTGGTTCTTTTGATCATACCAGATACCGTTGACATCAGCTTTTTCAGGTGTTCTCATATAGTAGCAATCTTCAGTTGCATGAGCATCTGCACAAATACCACAAATTATTTGAGTACTATTAACAGAAGAAACTTGAGAATTAGCTAATTGTTTTGTAAGAGCATCTAATTGTGCTTGTTGTTTCTTGTGAAATTGCGTCATTTTGTTCATTTTGGGCTAAGATTGCATCATTTGTTCAAACTCTTGAGAAGCTAAGGATTCAAACAATTCTAGTGCTTCCTCTAGTGTTTTTATTTTCAAGGAGCCTCCTGCTGCGGCATTCACCAGTGTTCTTGTGCTGGGTGTCATCCCTTGGAAGAAGATTCTTCCTTTTTCCCATGCTTCAATGCCATGTTGAGGACACTTCCGGAGTAATCCTTTGAATCTTTCCCAAGCCTCGTACAGAGATTCACTTTCTTTTTGTTCGAAAGCAGTGATTTCCGATTTAAGCTTTGCCATCATTGAAGCGGAGAAAAATTTGCCCAAGAAATTCATTGCTAGGTCATCCCAACTGGTTATGCTTCCTTCAGGTAGTGACTGTAGCCAAGCTCTTGCGTCATCCTTTAGAGAACATGGAAATAATCTGAGCAAGATGGCATCACGAGAAACTCCATTCATCTTTAATCTATCACAATAAAGCAAGAAGTTATCAAGTTGAATATAAGGATCCTCCGTGCTTCCTCCAGCAAACTGCTCTTTTTGAATTAATTGTAGCAGCGCCGACTTGAGTTCGAAGTAGTTAACATCCACAATTGGTCTAACAATGCTTGCCGTTTGCGGAACTCGAGCTGGAGTCATGTAATCTCCCAACGTCCTCGGAGGATTCTGAAGTATGTTGTTGTCAGCCATTGTTTCTTCCTTTGGTTTCGTTGAACTTGAGGCTTCCTTTGCTTCCTTCGCCTTTCTTTCTTTTGCGCCTTTCCTAAGTTTTGTTTCTGTCTTTTCTATCTCAGGATCAAACTGCAAGATTCGCGGGTTAAGAGTACCTCGCATAAACTAAGATTGAAAAGATGTGCAGAAAAAAATAGAAAATGCAGAAATAGAAAACAAAAAGAAAAGAATGCAGAAAATTTAATGAATATAAAATATGCAGAAAATTTAATGAATATAAAATATGCAGAAAATTGATGCAGAAAATTAAAACGTCCAATCTAAAAGGTAATTAGTTACTTCTAATGTTGAAGGATCCAATCCCCGGCAACGGCGTCAAAAATTTGTTACGACTCGACAAGTGCATCGGTCGTAAAGAAATAAAGTGTACCGTAGTACGAGATCGTTCTCACGAGGATCAGATTTCAAGCACTAGTTCGCTAATCGCGGTTTAGTTGGACAATCAAGAATAAGATGAAGAGAATTGTGTTTGGAAGAAATTAAAATTAAGAACAAGCAATAACATGCAATTAAAATTTTTAGAACTTAAAAGGAACAATTGAAAAAGATGATGATTGATTAAGAATTAAAAACTAGCGTAGTTAGGGTTTCGACTTCCCCCAATCTCCTCAATATGCAATGAATTAAATTGTCAAGAATACTTTCTTAATATAATGCCAATCAATTCTTTCTAAGTTAATTAGGGCTCAGTTTCTTGTTACCCTAAATCTATGTTATCTCAGAAGAACTCTAATTCCTCGGTTATTCCCTAAGAAAACATGCATTAAGATCAAGAATTCCAAGATTGTACAATTACCTTATGTCTATTCCTAGATCACGAGGATTGTGATAAATTTATCCAATCAGGGTTCATGCACTAACATCCCTATTGTCATACAATTTTCCAAAATCATTCTATAAAAAGCAAACTCATAGAAAACATTAAAGACAGATAAATTTATTCAATTATAAAAAGAAAAGAATTTAGAGACAATTTAATTCATAAACATAAAGATTCAATTGGGTTCCATCTCCCCCTAACTACATAAAAATCCAGCCTAGCATACTGAATTCAAAAACAATAGTAAAGAAAAGAGAACCACAAGCCTCCATTGGTGTGATGTTGACTTGGTTCCTCAGTGTTCCCACGCTCCGCAACAGAATTCCTCCTTCAGGTCTCTATGTAATTCTCTGGATTGGTGTTGAATGAATGAATCAATTGGTCCCTAAGCCCTCTATTTATAGAGAAGAATACATCTTTCTGATTTCTCTTCGTATCTTTCTAAAATCATGTTCAAATCTTAATTAAGATATAAATCTTCTTTGGGCTTGGATTTGGCCGTACATGGACATTTTAGTGTGTTGTTTGTGCGCCAAAACGTCCTCCTATTGCATTCCTGTCTGCCTCAGGGCGTTTTAGCATTCTAATGGGTGCCAAAACGCCCTCTTCGAAGGGTGATTCGTTGCTGCTGGAGCATTTTGGCGCTCTGTTTGGTCGCCAAAACGTTCTGCTCCAGTGAGTTCTTGTTGTTTCCCTTCATTAGAGCGTTTTAATGCTCTCTTGGACGCCAAAACGTCCTCCTCCCGCTTGCATGTAATTGAAATCTTGCTTCCTTAAGGCTTCAACTCATCTTGTTGCATTCTTTTGGTTCCAAAAAGACATAATGTATGTCAAAAATCCTTTGAAATAAGAATTATGACAACATGTTAGCAATATATTCAATTCTTGTGACTTTACGGTGTAAGACCCTAATTTCCATGCAATTCATGATATATTTCTTATATAATTAGACCTAAAACTATGGTAAACCAAGGGTTTATCATGTACTCATGGAGAAGAAGGTCAAACAGTTATTCTTGCAACCCGCCCTTCTGAATATACTCTTTTAAACCCGGATCCTATCCCAAACCTACTGCTTCCGAGAACGCTTAGATGTTCATGAAGAAGTTTGAAGAAGTGCACTTTTTAAAATGTATTTCTTTTGAATTGTCATGCCACCTATTATGGCGGCTTCTGACTTGTTTCTTTTTATCCTTTCTTTACTTTTATTCCTTGGTACTAAAAGTCGGATATTGGTAACAACTATAGTATTACTGTTTGCTATAGTTTTAACAATCTTATATAAAGATGTTAATTTTATCCTTTTGAATATTAACCTTTCTACTCTGGCGAGTAGACCCTGTATCTGAAATATAACTTAATAATGCCCCTATCAGGTGACTAAATTCACAAATATAACTTTTCCATACTCGTATAGGTATTAATATCATTAATTTGTGAGTAGATGTTATAACCTCAGGATGCAACTTTTCTGCGAATACATATATCTTGAAAACATTACTTTCTTATAATCCCTTTACCTGGCGAGTGGATATTTTACTGGTTTTTCTTTGTACCACGTAATTTACTCAACGAGCATACACTTATTTGGGGTGCTTTCTCCATTTTATCTTTTCCCGTTCTGGGTATAATTTTGACGAAATCATAATAAGCCAAATATTGTAAGCTTTCCCTTTTCGAGTAGGAATTGGACGGGTGCCCAAGAGGCCAATTCTGGCGGCAAGGGACTTTAAGTTTTTCTTTGAGTCATACACGGTTGTCGGAACTCGCCTGTATTATTGAATTCAAAGATTACAGATAGAAGTGCTTAAAACTATAACTTCCTAACACAAAGTTAAAAACAAATTACTGGAATTTAAAAGACCAACAACCTACCCCTACTTAAAACGAGTTCCCTAACTGAAATACCTCTTCAATTTACCAGCATTCCAATGTCTTGGAATTGGTCTCCAATCTAAATGCTCCAATTGATAAGCTCCTGTAGGAGTGCAAGTCGTTACTCTATACGGACCTTCCCAATTTGCTTCCAACTTGCCATCTTTTGCATTTTCGTTCCCCATATCTGCCCGCCTGAGCACTAGATCTCTGACCTGAAATGATCTTTTTACTACCATCTGGTTATACCTTGTTGCTATTCGCTGCTTGGATGCCATCTCTACCATTGCTGTCTTTTCTCTTTCTTCTTCCCACAAATGTAAATCAATTTTCATCATTTCATTGTTCTCTTCCTCTGTTTCCCCTTGTATCAATTTTCTTCTCCATGATGGTTCTCTGACCTCTACTAGTAACATTGCATCAAACTCGTACGTCATCTTGAATGGAGTTTCTTGGATACTAGACTGTATAGATTTTTGTATCCCCATAATACATTATCTAACTCCTCTAACCAATTTCCTTTGCACCCCTCAACTCTCCTCTTCAAGCCATTAATCAGAATTTTATTATCTTACTCCACTTGTCCATTCGTCTATTGATGTTCTATTCCTGCAAAATGATGCTTCACCCCTAAGTCGGCAACCACTTGTCGGAACTTCTTATCTATGAAATGAGTCCCATTATCAATAATAATTATTGCTGGTGTGCCAAACCTACAAACTATCTTCCCAATAAAGAACTTCTGAACTTTCCGAGCAGTGATACTTGCGACGGGTTTCGCCTCTATCCACTTGATAAAGTAATCTGCAGCCACAATCAAGCACTTAACTCCTCCAGCTACTTTGGGAAATGGACCTAAAATATTCATTCCCCATTTTAAGAAGGGCCATGGAGAAGAGATTGTGAACAACTCTTCTGGAGGAGCTTTATATACACTAGAGAATTTCTGACATTGTTCACACCTTTGTACATGCCTTTTTACGTCCTCCTCTATCGGCGGCCAAAAATAGCCTACTCGGATAGCTTTCCGCGCCAAAGACTTCCCTCCAAGATGATGTCCATTGATACCTTCATGGATTTCTTCCAACACATACTCAGTATTTGGTGGAGCTATACACTTTAGAAGAAGCGAGTTAAACCCCCTCCTATACAACTGCCCTTCTTTCATCATGAACCATGCAGCCTTTCTTCTTATCTTACTCGCTTTTATCTTATCTTTGGGCTCTTCTCTTTTTTCCAAAAAAGCTTGAATTGGATTCCTCCAATCTCCTTCTTCCACTATCCATACTACACTCGGAGCCCGGATACTCTGTTGTACAATTGTCCTTAAATTCCCTGTGGCCTTCGTACTTGCTAATTTTGACAAAACATCTGTTCGGACATTATCATTTCTCCGGATATGCACTACTCGGACCTCTTTAAACTCTTTCATCAACTCTTGGACTCTTGCCAAATATTTGATCATGATTTCTCTTCTCGCATGATAAACTCCACTTATCTGTGATGTCGCTAACTGTGAATCACTATAAACTTATAGACATTCTGCTCCGAGCTCTCTTGCTTGGACCAAACCAGC